GAATCGCAAGTGTATATTGGGGTCGGTTGTCTATCAAAGATAGGTACCAAGCATACCTGGGCAATTTACTCGGCCGCACATGTCACAGGCTAACCCTAAGGTACAGCGCACGCACCCCAGCAATCCACAGCCTAAAGTGGAAATGCATAGATGTTGCATCATTTTATATGCTGATATGATTTGGGTCTCCACACTAGAGATTAGATTAGACCATGGACGAACTCGTACGTAGTTTCTCCATACCCCGACAATTCACCAGCATTTGGCACGTCGCCTTCTCGCAGTGCTCGCAATGGCCCAGCTCTCCTTCATGATTCAAACGGATCGACGATAAGTTTGTTATTTCCTCATATACTATTACTTATACTCGCCGTTAACCCCGGCCTCGATGCTATATTGTATGTATGCTGCGATGTTGTTTCTAGCACGATTCGTGAATATGTATAGTTTTGCGAGACTCTTTTGTGCATGGCTGCCTTCAATGTGTGTAGAAGCAAGTATATACTGAGACGTGGCAAGTGACTAAAATAAATTATGCATAACCGTGGCATTTCCTATGAGATATTCAGTTGGTGTCAGGCGAGTATGAGATACCACACGGAAGCAGGTTAAATTTGATGAAGCCTAGCCATATCTGTTCTAAATTGCCTAAAACCACAGACCGCAAATCAGCCCGCGCAGTGTTGCCGAAAACCCAAAATTGATATAACAACTGCTCGGTTGAGCATACGCGAGCGACGTGATATACCAAGAATGCTCAACACGACTGTAGTTAAAGGTTAGCTGTCCATCGCGTGTCGTAGGAGCACGTACAGAGGCTCACTGCTGAAGCAGTGCATATCGATTCGACCTCAAAATGAAACCCACGTACTGGACATGATTGAGCCAATTTATCACTATGTATCGTATATGGCCACCCTAGCCCAGAATGATATGTATAGGGTATTAACCATAGTTTTCACGAGGCAAGCGGCAAAGCAATTCGTGACGATATAGAAAAGATAAACCAATAGTACAAGAAGCGATGAACTAATTGAATAACAACACAGCTGAACTGGAATTTGAAGCACAGTATAGCACAATCGGGCTGAGCTCCGGCCATTATAGTGGGGGTTGAAATCAAGGATGGGAGCGATAGGCAAGTGCCCAAAATTCAACATCAAAGGACATATTACGAATATAAGCAGACAATTTATTGATTCAGACAAGATTAAAATTAGTAGTGCCATCACCGGTTTGACAATCTATTGTCAAATATCAGAAATATTATTATAAGCGGCCACAATATTATACACTATCGTGCAATATTGCTGATTACAAATCAAAATCTAATCTTGTAAACGACATTGTATTCTCCAATTTCTCCCGTATCATTGAACGTGCTTATTTTTGAATTTCTTTCTTAAGTATGTAATGATTCTCCATAAGATAGAACGGCACCAAACAGCGTCATGTCAATATTGAAGGCTTGAGAGGTGCGTGTCTATCCAACGCACGAGAAATGAATAAACTCGTCAGACTGTCTTCGAACGCAAATATACTCGTGCTGTACATGACTGGTCCAAAGAAAATTATCTACGACTGTTTTAGTATTTTTTGGATACCGTAGCAACAACAGCATAGAAAGGCGTGTTGTCTATTAGATGCTATTGATAAGAATCTTTCAAATATTATATTGGCAAGTATCACAATTGCGCTGCACATCCTCAAAAACATCAATACTGCAAGGGTAAACAAGCAAACTAATCCCTCGTCACTCAGGTTACCCCTCATAGTCTGTACGTTTACCCACATGCTTATACCAAGTTGTAGCCATACCTTCCAATCGTGGCCATGTTGAGACCTCTGTATGGCAGCTCATATCCATATTTATAATACACTCGCCAAGCTCAAAAATACCGCGCGATTCCTCAAGGGATACAAGAATATTTTGCGCTCACCAATGGATCTCGATAAAGTGGTATAGATGTATTGCCTTGACCTACCACACTCGAAACAGACGCCCAGCTGACAATCCCCGCACTTTTCCACTGGCAGCATTGCAAGGTTCTCGCGGTGGCAAACGCAGCAGTGAGTTGGTACAAATTCAGCAATCTTCGTGCAGATTTCCGGGGGAATCAATGTATGCTCTGCGAATGTCTGTATAGTAGGAGTATGACACGACATTCTGCAACAGCCAGTCAATACAGTAGATAACTTGTACATCTCGAAGGATTACGATCCCGTATACAGTGAATGTGTGTGACGTAGACGAAATAAAAAACGCTCTGTGAAGGCTCCAATAGCGTGTGATATACTATGCGCTGGTTCCAGGCTAGCGACTTTGTTGTAAATGGCACGTGAGTGACTATGTGTGTCGCGAATATGTGAGAGGGAAAATATTGAAAATAGCACTGAGCGATAGCTTTCAGAGGTATTCCGAGTCTTAGACCCTATTGCAAAGCCACAACAACTGACAATAACACTCGGTCAATCGCTGAGTAGTAAAAACCCGAAAAAAAGTATATCGTGACCCCGCCCAAACCCCACACCTTCTCGCACTTCCTCATATATTTGTGTACTATCTCGAGAACACAGGCTGCTACCATTCCTAGCTCATGCGTTAAATAAAAGTAGCTTTCATACGGAAGTCGAAAAATGCAAACGGTTGTGACGGCAAATATATCTATGTGGGGGGTTGGGACCTTGCGACCGTCGGTTGTGACGAACATTACTCGGCTAATACGTGAGGTATACATATACTAAAAGACCGCCGTGGTTCTCAATAATACGCTCGCTTATCATCACCATCTTCATTCTCCAAGCACTCCAACACTACCGGAAATCCTAAAGATTGTACACGCTCTAGCGCTCATCGATAACTCTCGCCTATGGCTTACATGCCACACGGAGCATTTAACTAACGAGCTGCAAATCATGGCCACATATTACGTGCAGGCGTATCATGGTGGTCTCAAACAGCCTCATAGTATGAGCCACACGCCTTATACAACAGGTCTGAAAGCTTCCCGGCACACGTCATCATGTGGTGACTCCCATCGTAGGCATGCAACTGCGACATTCTGTTTAGCCGAGCTTAGTTGTCTTCCTTTTATATGAATGCTTTGCGAATAATTCCGTTCTAGTGTCGTTGCTAACACAGTTGAACCAAAATCGTCACGTGAAAGTGAGTATCTGTGCTATATGTATGTGAAACCTATGAAAGGTCGAGCGTCTTTGGATGAGTATATAGAGCCCACGGAAGGCGTATCCCAAGTGCGGGGCGTGTGTTTGTGGTAAATCTGCGATGAGAAGGCGCAGCGTGGACACACTATGCGCTGGACCGATAAGTGCAAGTAACAAAAGTGTACAATCTCCACTACACTTCCTATGCACTACGAAGTATGTGTGTGTGTGTGTAGTGTGTGGATTGCACATTGTTAAATATATATAGGTAAATATATCTCTGATACGGAAACAAAGTAAATATTTTTGAGTACTTTCGTGCACACTGCACACAGCACACCTCTCTTTCGTGTATTTATTTACCCCAGGCCTCAGCCCGCCCGAATGTCCTAATTTGTCTCTAGATTTTGGCGGGTTCCCCCTCGGCCCATGATTTTCATTATTTAGCAGACTATGGTGCTTGTTTCTCTCTATATCTAGAGAGGACACCGGAGTGACCGGACCAACCGGCTGTGATAAATTAAGACTGTGAAAAGTGCATAGGTGTTACATACAAAGAAACTACGAACTCTCAACCAACGCTATCAATACAGGCACACACACCCAAGAAATAGCTTCAAATACATACTACAAGGGTATCCATGCACACATCCACGGAACCTAATCCGTCCATCATAGACTGCACAAGCCCAAGTTTTTATTCAGTAAAAGCATGACATCTAAAGGCAAGGATGCAACGGGGACAAAGCGCTCTATCAGTGTAGGAGGCAAAAGCTTATGGACATTAACAAGCCCCACTGTGAGTGAGAAGGGGTCTGTGTTCCAGTCAGCCGCTATATGGCCACTGTCAAGTGAGAAGCAAGCCGTAAAGGCACTTGCTGCGTTGTGTCTGGATTCTAGATTCAGTGGCGCTACCTGTCGCATGACCGGGTTTCGGATAGTTGAACCGGGAAAGAAGGTATGTGAGTGTAATGATTTGTAGCTCGTTGTATCATTCATTACCCTGTCTTTTGAGAGAAAAGTTTAACAACTATCTATGTGTTACCATCTTTTGATATACAGTGCTGTATTAACGATTGAGGCCACACACATAGCGGTCGTTATTATTCCGTTTCCAGCGGCTGACGAAAACTTTTGTGAAAACGAGATGGTAGTGAATGTGAAGTAATGCGATGATCTGTATATCAGACTCGTAGTTGCATTGCGCTTGCTTTCTGTCTTATAAAACTCTCGTACATAGGTTAACAAACCTGACAGACTGACATTCCGAGCAGCTTGTTTTTGCGAGCCATTTCCAGAATAGCTGTGTTCAAATACCAGTATAAGTAAGCATCCACAAGGTGCTTTGAGCGTGATAAGACGCGGAATAGTGCTATTTTTTACGTATTGCGCGTCAATCGCAACGTGCGTGATATCATGTTGCATCTGTTGCACACACATATATGTGGGTTGTGATTTCAGTGTATTTAATGGTATACATATCTGAGAAAAAATATTAAAGATATACTGAATAAATCAGCGGTATACTAAATTCATATCACGCTTCTAAGTGTTTCTCGAAGTGATTCCCTCAACTATAATATAATCACTGTTATAAAAGAGTTCACATCACTTATAATTATGTAAATCCTATCGCCTTATAAAGGGGCGAATCCATAAAGCCTACAATGACGACGGCGAATTAAATGGCGGCCAACGCCTCCTCGGTACCTTAACCAAAGAAAAAGTCACCAATGCAGGGGTGATAGTTGTTAGGTGGTACGGTGGGGTACACATAGGGCAGGCTCGGTTTGCGCACATAGCTGAGAGAACAAGATATATTCTCAATGCCATCGGGCACAAGCCCGGGCAGGGGGCCCAGCATATCTGGGGAACCGGTATTACGCAATTTATGGGACGCAAAGGTCCTGGAAATAAAAATGTAGGTAGAGATGCAGAGCAGGGGAGAGCGACGTCCAAAGCAAGTGGACAAACACACAGCGGAACAGAGGGGAGGCACCACGAATTGGATTATGCCGTGGAGCAAACAGCTTCAACCCCTACCAAATCAAACGCCATTTGTCGTATTGAAGAGAGTCCTGCTGGAGGCGGAAGACAGGGGAGCGGAATGAAGAGAAAAAGTATAGAAGCAAGTGAATCCAGAAGGTGTGACGCGCGGAGAGAAGCCGTGGCCGCAGCTGCTGAAAAAAGACTGAAAATAAGCAATCCTTCGCAAGCATTCTCAATTGGTGTTGACGCCGGATCAAAAGCGGAGGCCGCAACAACAGCAGTCATTCTGATGGACTGATTTTAGGGAGTATGGTGTACTTATTCATGTATGGCATATGAGCAGTGATCAGACTTGAACAGGGTGCTCACTTTGCGCTCCTAAAACTTGTGTTGGAACTACTCGGCAATTGGGATAGAGTGGTTTACTATAGAGGCACAGATGGATTTTTGATATCGAATTCACTTAATATCCAAGAAATGCGATATTTTTGTCGCATAATTAGCAAAGTCTGCTGAGAATTGTACCTTTCAAAACACTTTAAGCACATGGTGGTGATTGTGGTAGACTTTTCAATATACCGTAAGAGTGAAGGCCTAACGCACTCAAGCCACATAGCCGAGTACGAACTTATAATATTTACGTATCTGTTTGACAAATATATGTTGCCTGGAGGGCACCAAATTTTGAAATTCTAAAAAGGAAAAGGGAAAGAGGCGGCCCCAGGCCGACTATACATAAAGCACAAGCACGATATTCACTTTTCACTGATATGTCTGTAAATCATGTGGTTAAGCTCACTTCCTTAACTATTGGTGCCCTTTACAGCAGGAGACAATCTCATAAATAGTTCATTGAGCTGACAAAAACTTGACGAGGCAAGCTTTTGCCCAGCTTTTCAGCAGAACACAGTCACAACCACATACATTGGACGCCGGTGAAAACTATGCTGTAAGAGCTTCGCATACCCGACATTGTAAAGAGAATCTGCACCATGTATTTTGAATAGTTGTTCGATACTACAAACTGTAACCGAAGTCGTTCAACAATTTAGAAACAAACACATTCCCATGTAAAATATGAAATACATATGTGGCACACATGCATTTATATATATATATATATATATATATATATATATATATATATATATATATATATATATATATATATATATATATATATATATATATATATATATATATATATATATATATATATATTATA